TGTGTGTGTGTGTGTGTGTGTGTGTGTGTGTGTGTGTGTGTGTGTGTTGCCTAAGGAGGCCGGAAGATAGCCTAGGATCCCCTAGAACTGGAGTTTCAGTTGGTTGTGAGCTACTCTGTGGGTGCTAGAAATTGAACCTGGGTCGTGTGGAAGAACAGCCAGTGCTCTTAACCACTGAGCCATCTCCCCAGTGGATATTCTTGTTTGCTTGTTTGTTTTAGGCAGGGTCTCATACAGGACGTATGTAGCTATGTCCTGGAACTCATGTAGACCAGGCTGGCCTGGAACTTACAGAACTCCACCTGCTTCTGCCTCCCATGGGCTAGGGTCAAGGCGTGTAGTACCACACCAGTGTCAATGGATATGCTTGAAATTAGACACCTATGCTCCCCAAAGGGTCTGGACAGGCTTTTACTGTTTAAAAACCATAGTTTGCCGAATCATCAAAATTGAGATGTTAAATTTAAATATTAGTTTGGATAGTGTTGTTTTTCCTTATCTTGAAAACATACCTCAGTGAAATATTCAAAAGGTGTTTGTTGACTGACCGTTCCATGATATTCACTTGTGTGGGTGCTAGGTAGAACAATAAAGTGTAACTCATGGCTTTTGAACTCATATCCTTTTCCTGAGTTTGAATTGTAACTGTTAAAAAGTAAGTATTTCAGAGGCGAACAGACTAACTAGAAACAGTGACCTAGTGTCAGACAGCTCCAGGTGGGAGGCTCTGCAGCACCATTTACTAACTTCACCCTCTCTGATTTGTCTTCACCTATTTGTAAACAAGGATAATAGTGGAATCCGTTTTATAGGATTGCTTTTACAATAACTAAGTCCATGGACTTAGCCCAATGTAAGCACTCATGATACGTTTGCTTTACATAATAACAGAAATTACGACTGGCAATAAGAAGTTATGATAATAAAATGACGGATGTAAATATCTTGATAGTTAAAATAGTGGCAATGATCTGGCTGCATTCACAGAGGACCTGGGTTCAGTTACTAGCACCTACAGTACACAAACATACCAGCAGGCAAAACACTCACACACCTAAAAAGAAAAAGTTGAGGCTGGTTGGAAGGGAGGAAGGACATACTTCTTCAAACACCTGGCTTTCCTTTCCCTTTTCCAGATTCCTGGATTCTGATGAAATCCTGCAGAAATGCATGCAGGAAGTGAGACAACAAATTGCTTCTTCTGAGACCCAGCATAATCCAAGGCATGGCTAAGGATCCCCTTCGGGGATAGTCTCATTTTAGTGTCCACATTCCTTTCCACAGCTGCAAATCCTACTGCTGGTGTTGCTGGCTTTTTCTGAGATTGATACTCCAACCAAGGACCATGTATGCAGATAAACTAGAACCCCTGCACAGTTATAGCTTGTGGCAGCTCAGTCTCCAAATGGGCTCCTAGTAAGGGGAACAGGGGCTGTCTCTGACATGAACTCAGTGGCTGGCTCTTTGATCACCTCCCCCTGAAGGGGGGAACAGTCTTACGAGGCCACAGAGGAAGACTATGAAAGACAGTCCTGGTGAGACCTGATAGGCTAGGGTCAGATGGAAGAGGAGGAGGACCTCCCTATCAGTGGACTTGGAGAGGGGCATGGGAGGAGATGAGGGAGGAAGGGAAAGAAGGGTTGGGAGGGGATGAGGGTGGGGGCTACAGCTGGAATACAAAGTGAATAAATTGTGATGATAGATAGATAGATAGATAGATAGATAGATAGATAGATAGATAGATTAAAACAAGAACTCCCCCTTCCAGTGGACTAGGAAAAGGGGATAGAGGGGAAAAGGGAGGGAGGGTTGGGACTGGGAGAAGTTGAGGGAGGAGGCTACAATCGAGATATACAATTGTAAAAAAAAATATACTGTAAAAAAACAAATAAAAGAATCAAATTAAAAAAAGAGAGAACTGTACTTGGCAAATCCACAGGAAGGAAGGATTGTTGGTCTTGAAGGTTGAGAACAGAGAAGCATACGATCTGAACCTTTACTGTAGGGCTTTCATGTCTGCTGTCAGGTATCTGATATCACAGAGTATGTGGTAACGTCAAAGCTCAAACAGAGACCTTTGAACCCTCTATTCTGATATGTTAGATTGCTTTTCTCACCAACTTTGTAAAGTGGGTGGCAGATACCCTACATTATCAGTTTTTTAGTGCAAGGAGTGAGAGAACCTAGCCTAATGAGGTGGTGTTCCTGAGATAAAATGCTGATAACAAATGGCTTGACCAGAATTTTCCATCTAAGTATTTTTTCCTAATGCTTATCCTTGCAATAAATGATATGACTTTCAGGGTCCACTAATCCCACCACCACAAGTAGCAGATATTTAGTAGCACATAAATGTTTTTGTAATTTTTATGGAAAGTTGGAGTTTTGTATAAAAAGAAATCAGAATTCCAGTATCTACAAGAATTAGAAGTTTGATAGGCTACCCTTTTGCTTCATTCAGGGATCTTGTGTCATACACATGTAAGCAAATATTCAATTAGAAAGGGAAAACATGACTTCCACTTGGATGCTTAAATAGTAAAATGTAGAATCATTTTGACTAGATCTCTGCAAACACAGAAGATTTTACTAAACTTATTTGATTACTAGGCTTCCCTTTCAAAACAAAATGGCAAGTGATTAGCATCATCAGCCAAATGATTCCAACACTGTCCAGCCCGGCATCATGTCAATTTCTTTGTGAAATTTAGATTCTGTTCAGTCAGTTTTCATATTTGGTTACAGACTGTGGGCCAACTGCATTCTCTCTCTCCTAGTACTTTCCCCTGTCAGCTTCAGAGCTGCGTGATGGAAGAACAAGAGAATTGGGATGTAGGTAATGTTATGGGATGTAGGTAATATTATGGGATATAGGGAACACTGATAGGTAAGTCTCTTTTGAGTGCTAGATGACAGGGGTGAGCACTTGGCTAAAAGTCTTCTTTAACTTTGATTTTAGTGACTATCAAATACTAACAACGGGAATTCCATGTTCTTCCACACATAGGTTGAATGCCTACTGCTCCTACAGACCACACTAAAGATCTATCATACTGCTGTTCTTATATTCTAGAAATAGAGCAAGAATATTTTGATTTCTTTCATTTGGAGAGATATGTTTATAATTTTTGCATATATCATCAAAATATTCCACAGATGTTATGGACCTATGGAATAAAATCCATCATTAGAAAATCCTTAAGAAGTTTAATCATAATAGAAGAACCCCAGTCACATAAGCTAAAACAGAAAAATGTTGAGTGATCTCACATTTTTAAGAGAGAA